CAACAACAAACATCAAAGGTCTTTTCACAGTTTTATTTTGAATACGCAGTAAATTCAACTCCCACGATTCAAGCATAGAAAACAAGTAAACAACTTAAATCGCTGTGAGGGGTATTTTGTGAACTCCAGTCAACACATGGGACTATCTTGTAAGCACCTGTAAACCCTTGTAAAAGCGCGAAATGACACCAGTTTTATTCCCACCCGATTTTCCTTCTAATGGATGGCATTTTATGCTGGAAAAAGCGGAGAAGCGACTGGGGGCCAAGGAGATCAGAAGGTTTTGCCGAAGCCTAGAGGAGTTCTAGTCTGAATGAACCAATCCCTTTAACATAAAGTGATTATTACTTTTTCTGAACACTGACAGTAATTGAAAGTGGGCGCTATGTGCCTTGAGGTGCTAGTCTGCAATAGCGGTAGGGTAGCCCGTAATTTTACGAAAAAAGAGCTTAGATATCTCTCCTCCTTAAGGTTGCAGGCTACACTAGCAATGATGCAAAGCAAAATCGCAGACCGGCACCAACGGGGGGGGGGTCGAACCCGACCGCGAAGGGGGGGGAGTTTCGTCCGAGAAAAAAATATTTTAACAGCTGATTTATCCTTTCACGGCCAAAGATGTATACAACTACTATTTCCGATAAATGATAATGATAGTTAACTCAACCCGGGAAAGTGGTCGGTAGCACGGGGAAGGGGTCGTATTTGAGGATGGATTTAGAGGTGGGTCGTATTTTTCAGGAAATGATCACAACGCGATGGCGTGCCGTGGTCCTGGGTGCTCTGCTGGTCCCATACATTTTGGTACATGTAATTAGTATACGAAATGGAACTGGCATCGATTCGTGGCTTTAGGCCTTTAGGACCGCGCAAAGGTGCCCACTATGTTAGCGGGACCCTATAAAATGTCTCCCCGTAGCGAATAAACGCCCAGTAGCCACATAGGAACGATCCCCCATCTGATTTTCGCGTTTTCCCCAACGGAAGGATAACACTCTGTTAAGAAACAAAATGGCTATGGAACTAAAACGGCGAATCTTCAGCCTGACGTGCAGATCAATAATATAAAAGACCAGGCTACCTCTAAAAAACCTCAGCACATAATACAACAAGGCACTTCAGCGAGGCGAGGGAGGGGTTCATAAACTTAAACATGCCTAGCCAACATGTGTAAACCTGGTAAACTTATAAACTCTTGTAATGCTACGTAATGGCACGGGCTTCTTTCCCACGCCATTTCTAGCATGTTTCTTCTCGTGCTAAAAGCTGTTCAGTGCACAAAGAAATGATGTTTTATCCACCCGGACCTGCTTCCCATGTCTGAAAGGGACAGAGATCCAGGAGGGTTAACGATTTTCAAACCAGGAAGTAGTAACATTTCGGAGTTTTACAGGAGTTTGCAGGAGTTTACAAGCTCATCTCCGCCGTCAAACTGCCCCAAAACAACCAATGATATTTCTTATGTGTTCAGATTAGTTCAGGACGAGGAAGTGACGAAATATCAAGTACGAAATAGAGATAATAACGAGGGGTATTACGTAATGAGGAACACAATGAATTGAAAGAGCAGAGTATAAATATCTGATGAATCGCCATCACGGTTAGTCCCCAGGTGCTAGTACACTGTTCTGTTGTTACAGCGCTTCTCACAGGGAAAGGTCAACGTCACCCAGCAAAAGGTGCCGTCAACCGCACGGGGCAAAAGACGAATGACCGCGAATAACCGTGTGACTTTGGGTGGATCGATTCGGGTAGGTCAGGGAGTGATGGGGCGACCAGTGTTTGGGGAAAGAGGGGGGCGCTGGGGGGTTGGCGACGACGAGACGGCGGCCGGTGGTAAGGATACCGGGAGAGCGCGTTTTTGCGCGTTCGACGACCGCGTCGCTAGGCCCCCCGCGGCGCGGCCCATCACATCCTCCACTCAGACTGCCACGGTGGGGTGTGGTGGGAGACGCTCCACTTTCATTTGCCCTGTTTCTGTTACGACGACGATGACGACGACGACGACGCCGACGACGACGGTCTACTCTTCGAGAGACACGCATCGAGCAGCACTTACTATCTCGCGTTTAATTCGCTCGAAATTGGTGTACAAGAAGTTTAAATTACGCAGCTTTTTAGCTGCGCATCAAGTCCAAGGGACTATCGCAGAGCCGTCAAGGCAGTAACCTGTCAGATTCCGCTACTTGCGATTAGCAAACGGGAAATCCACATAGTTTCTCGAAAATCACCTCATGATGTTTTCCCCACAATCCATTTAGAAGTATTCCTTGAAGGTTAATGGCGAAGTTTATGGGTGAAGTCTTGCCCACGAGTTTTCCCCATTATTCCATCGCTTTCAGACGAACATTCTGGAGGGAAATACGGATTCGAGGCGTCAATCGTGGTCGCCCCGGTTGAGAGCAGTCAATCGGGACGGGACGGCTGTCGGGGGGTCGCCACGGCGGCCCCGATCGATAAAGGCCGTGCGGTGGGTGGTTGGAGAGAAACAGAGCACACAACGAGACAGTGTGATACGCGAGGAGACGCAAACAACGGACACGACGTAAAACGGAGAAAATCGCAGAGCGGCGATGCGCGGCGTCTCCGCCAAGGCCGAGTGAGCGCCGGGGTCGGACGGGGGGCCGTCGGAGGACGACGATTCTCGCCTTCCCGTGAAATGACAGGGGTTGTGCAGTTTGTGGCCGAGAAATGCAGGGGATGAGATGGGGGTTGGCAGTCATGAGAAAACATTTACGAGGGGACCCAGTCGGGGTGAATAGAAATATTTGATATTGAATCATTTTTCCTCGTCCTGAATTAAACTGATCATACATGAAAGTTCCTTTGTTATTGTGGCCAGTTCGCCCACGAGAGCCATCTGTAAACTGTTGCAAACTCTTGTAAAAATCGAAATGTAACTACTTCCTGGTTTGAAATTGATTGCCGACCCGGACCTCCGTCCTCTTTGACTTGGTCAGAAGTCTTCATCCTTTCCCAGTCTTCGTTTCTTTGTACCTTCGAGCACTAAATACAGCCTTACATAAGAACAAACAAGTCAGAAATGGTGCGGAAATGTACCCCATTACCAGTTTGTAACATCAAGTGTTTGCGGGTTTAAATCTAATGGCTAATTTACAAGGGTTTACGTATCTCCCCCCCCCCCCC